CAATAATAACAATTCAGCGAACTAATTAATTAGTGGTATCTTTTGAATAAACTATGCAACAATACAACTGAAGGATTCTTGCACCCATTCTAAAACTTATTTGATTAACATTTGATTAGGAATAACACAATAGTATTAGATTAATCAAACAAGAAATGTTGTAATCTTGCCAACCACACTGCAAAGGCAAACTAATTCACCAAAAACAGTAAGAAAGTCCACAAAAATGATGCACAAATACAATGGCATTGGTGCCTACATTCACGGGAAGAAAGAAAGGCTGTATTTTATAAATTTGCACAAAGAAAGACATATAAGAGATAAAAACTATACAAGCAAGAGAATTAGGGGTATCAATTCGGGTCAACGAGTCGGGTTCGGGTCGAACCTGGAACTGACCTGGCACTATTCGGGTCAACCCGAACTCGACCCCTTTTTAAAAACGGGTTAGGTTCTCGAACCCGAATCCGACCCGATTCGGGTCCGGATCAACCCAATCTGACACGAATGACCTAGGGTTGATCCAAAATTCTAGTTTTTGGGTCAAAATCGGGTCAATCTTCGATTTTCGGGTCAAAATGGGTCAATCTCGGGTTTTCGGGTCAAATACGAGTTTTCGTGTCAATTTCGGGTTGCTGGGTCAACCCGAACCGACTCAATTTTTAAAACGGGTTGATTTGTTGAACCTGAACCTGACCCATTTCGAATCCAGGTTGACCCTAACCCAGATTTTTTCGGGTCGTGTTTTTGGTCGTGTCAAAAATTGACACCCCTAAAGAGAATATAAGAAACTACATATAAGAGATAAGATTATACAAGCAAGAGAATATAAGAAGCAACTCATCTTGGTCTATTGATTAGGAGCTTTGGCTATAACTAAAAAGTTTTGAGTTTGAAGTTTATATATGTGTTGTATTTATGAGTTTGCTTTAATTGCCTTAAAACGTCCAAAAAAAAAAAGAGAATATAAGAAATAAATAAATGGAAAATAAAAAAAATATTAGTATTCATTAATGAATTAATTAATAATCTAATACTTAATTTAATTTTAACCCTAAGGATGAGTATTTAAAAAAAAAAATCTCAAATGAAGAGATTATTCACTATTAATCCTTCATGGCTTCATTAATCTATCCGTTAAAATTTATAATAATATATAAAATATTAAAAATAGAAAACAATAAAAAGCTTGAAACGCAAAAGTGGCCAACTTTTATCCCTACTTCTCGAGTCCCTCAAAGACTACATATTCAATGAGTTAATTATTATAATAAGAAAATCATACAAATGTAATGACGTGGTTAATTATGTTTCATCATTATATTATAGTTATGGTTAGAGTTTAACTGTTCTCTAATAAGACTTTATTTGAGACGGCTTTCTTATTGCTTGTTAAAGCAGTTTTTTAGTACAAAAATACTTAATTTTAAAAAAATTGTACTAAAAACTGCTTTAAGAAACAATAAGAAAGTCATCCAAAACGAAACCTAAATCTATGTATTGTAAGCATGCTACACTAAAAAATACAAGAAAATCTTTGTTAGCGGGGTTCAAGTATGGACTTTAACTCCTTTTGCAAGCTTTTTCCCATGGCTTATTAGGTATGCTAAGATGGATTAATTATTCTGTCGAATGTCGAACGCTGTTCAGAGACCAACCAAAATGCGCAACATCACTCCTGTGCTCGGTACCGTGGCTCGGTACTGCTAATGTGGTGCGTTCTGGTTGATCTTCGGATGACTTTCTGCATTTCATCTCCACAAAGAATAATTTCTCCCTAAGATCTTGGTGCTACAAACTTTAAATAAGGGTAAAATATTAGTACTCTTTTCGCTCTTCAAATTAGTATATTTTTAATTATATAGCAAGTATAATGTCTTTTAATAAAAAATAGTTTATACGAATTTAGTTTTTAATTTATTCTTCTTCTTTTTTAATGGATTTATGTACATATTATTATATACTACTATATTTACATATCTAACACCTAAAACTTTAATATTACATACATACCACCCATAGTTTAATTTCATATCAAATATGAGTGGTATGAATGAAATACATGGATGATGAGAATGAAATATGGGTTGCATATCTGATATTAAAATAAATAAGATGATATATATGTAATATTAAAATTTTAGATGTTAGATATATGAATATAATAGTATGAAGTGGTATATATGTAAATTCTCATTTTTAGTTTTTATAGATGCCATCAAATATGGAAACAAAAGTTTTGACATTGTAAAAAGGAATATTGAAAAGGGCTAACATCAGCAATAATTGATCAAACAAATAATAATTGTATATAAAGAATACATGGGACATTTCTAGGAGCAATTATTAGGTCCTTTCACTGGATGTAGAGGAAGGTTCGGTTTTAGACAAAAATAGGTCAAAAAGTGCAAATACCGAGTTTTTCAAAAAACTCGGTATTTTTTCAAAAAACTCGGTATTTTTTCAAAAAACTCGGTATTTGCACTTTTTTAGACAAAACCGAACCTTCCTCTAGGTCCTTACACCGGACCAAATAAAAATCCCATTTCTAGACCCTCTTTGCCCTTTAAAGCATCCATGGTTTTATCTTTTTAGTAAATTTTGTATAATAAAAGTCTCAATAGCTTAGATCATTTGTAAAAGATATTATTTCCTAATTTTACAGAAAAAGCCCTCAAATTTTCAACCCTTCTATAATGACCGCCCTTAAAAACTTCAATATTTTTACCCTAGAAAAGTAAATTTATAAGTTGAGACCAAATTATAACAAATTTATTTGATTTGATGAATCAAATAAGCTAGTAATTTTACAAAGATTTCATATAAATAATAATGCAACCCACCTTATTGAACTAGTTAAGATATATTTATTATTAAATTTATGATTAAATTTATTTAATGTCTTAAAGAAAAATTATTCAATATCATAATTGTATTAAAATCAAGGCTTTGAAAATCAAATTGGATAACGAACCGGAAGAAGATGAGGTTAGCGGTTCGATGGTTCGGCCGGGGTCGAATTGGATGACGTAATAAATATTTATTATATTTGAATATTATAATAATGAAAAAAATCATTTGCAAATATGTAACAAAAATTGAGCAGAATTATAAAATGAAGCAATTAAAAAATATAACAAATAAATCAGTAAATTTAAAACTAAATATATTATTATTTTGAGCAACTGACATCTTTGTAGTCATAACTTGAGAGATAAAATTAAAATTTCTCTTGAGATCTTATAATTTATATCTGCAATTGGTAAAGCTCTGAAATAAAATAAATATGAGATAAGTAGGGTTTTTATTTTATTTTATTTTATTTTTTATTCTTTTCGCATAAGTATAAACTTTATCTTAGTTAATTTTAGGCCATCCGATTTGATATGATGAACCGCCCAGTTATTCAAAACCTGGATTGGTTTGGTGGTCGAACTCCCGGTTCGAACGGTTCGATAGCAGTTTTGTATGACTCCGGTTTAATAGTAAATCGTAACCGGCTAATCGACTGGTTTGCGGTTCAACTAGTTGAACCGACCGGTCCGATCTGATTTTTAAAGCTTTGATTAAAAATATATTAATAATTATGGCTTCCTCAGTCGAATAATTTCTCATAGTCCTAATAAACTAGGAATATTTTATTGAAATTTTATCAAATCTTGATAATTTTATTAGAACTTTTTTGTTAGATTTCTATATATTATTGTTTACATAAAGTTAAGAACTTTAGTAGTTTAACAAAAAATTATCTTTCTTCCCAAAGAAGCCAAATTTCATGGATTGTAGCATTGATACTCCTCAAATAAATTCATATAAAAAGTTAAAATTGAACTCCACTTTATTAAAAGAGCCCAACTAAAGTAGGAAGATAATAGTATATGCATGTGAGAGCCCTAATTGATCCTAATAAGTACAAACTAATCATATTTTTATGTAATTTTATTTGAAAAATAAAGCTTTACTTTGAAATATGCTATGTTGACCACTATTATTAACATATAGATAATAACTATTAACATGATAATATTAATTGTTATCTTATTATAAATTTTTTTTTTATGAGAATTTTCAAAATCATAAGCTGCCATCACCGACACCTTTATACAAATCTCAGATCTTTAAAATAAAGAGGGAAATCATGACGTTGCTAAGGCTGCCTATACCTTAGCCTATCTTTGGTGTCCTGTTGAATAAACGAAGAGGCACCGATCACATCAGTCACCTTAACTTCACCAAAACAATTTCTTCCACGCAATTGAGACATTTATGAAAAATCTAAAGCGAAATTAATGGCTGTATTCTGCTTGCATGGATGAAGCACCAACAAATTACACTAATGGCCCTGCTTGTGGCAAGAGATTATTACATGCAGAGTCCGAATACAGAGAATCTTTGTGACTATGAACAGTAAAAGCGTAGTGGTGAACGATAACCGTGTTTTTACTGTTTACAGTCATAAAATTGAACAGTTCTCTGTATCTGACTCCGCACGTAATGCTCTCTCTGGCTTTAGGGCATCTCCAACTGAACTCATTTTTCATTTCAAAATACAGTAATAGTCACATTAAATAGTAGTTCATTTTTAACCAAACTCTATTTCTAACACAAAAAATGAATATTCCATGTAGATTCTTTCACATTTTTATTTTCGCCACAAAAAGGGGTTCGGTGAATAGTGTGACGCCAATATTGACGTCATGTTTTTCTTTTTGGCATTCGGGTGGAAGCTTTCTGTAGCTGCAAAAGGACATTTGCAGTTGGGTTAGAGATGCCCTTAGTACCAGATGGACATATATTGATGATCAGAACCGTTAACCATTCATAGCGATTTTTAGATCCATCAATTGAAAATGAAATTATACTCTCGATGATTAAGAGTTTGAACTATTATTAAAATTATAAAAATTATTATGTCTGCATATCACATGTAGAGCCATTTTTAATAATATAAATATATATTTATATACTTTTTTTTTATATATATTGAATACAAAGTTAAGTACTTAAGCTTTTTAAATGCATATATTATATACTCGATATTTATCTAAAATATTAAAACATATGTGAGTAGAGATATTTACAGGCAGCTCTACATGTGATGTGCATACATATGCAATAATTTCTCTTGAAATAGATTGTGATTCTTTCACTAGATCTCACCCTAAGACAAACCAAAATCATCTCATATTCCTTCATTCGAAAAAGAAAAAAAATCATCTTGTAGTACTGAATTAAGCATGTCTGGTGAAGCCATTGTAGGCTGGTTCATGAGGAAAGGGCTCCATGGATTGATGAGGAGGAGTTCAGAGGCCATCATCTGGGGATTAACACTACTGCAGTTCAAATTCATGCATTGCAGGATGCCATTAAGGGAGCTCAGCCATGAGGTGAGCTCAACCACCTGAGTTCTTAGAACAGAGTTCTGAGTCTCCAGAACCAGGTTGTTCTGTGTGTAGAGGTTAAGTGAGGTTCTGATCTGGCTATTTTTTTCCTTCAATTGGCTTATCTCCGCCATTAGATCGTTCAGATGCTTATGTTTCCTCATCCTAGAACGCTTTGCTGACTCTCGGTTAGAGAGCATTCTCTTCCTCTTCTTCTGGTCCATCACTGCAAGTAAATCCTCACTGAAACCAGAATTTGAGAGCAGGCTGGATGATCCAGAAGAGCCACCGCTGGATAAAGCCATCAAGATTTTTTCTTTCTTGTTATTTATGGAAGAAAGATGGTTATTTATAGATATATTATATGGAAGAAACTAGGAAATTATGTAATAGAGAGGGCACAGGTGGTTGGAGATCAGAACAATCTTATGAAAACACATAGAACCAGTAAAGGAAGACAACAGAGAAAGATTGAACAAGATGAGTCCTGCGCTGGATGGTGGAATTTACCATAAACTCTAATAGAAAGATCTCACTTAGGATAGGCGGCATCAATAAGAAACATCAAAAGGAAAAGATGCTGCATGTGAATTGAAGAGTAAAATTCCAGAAAAAGGAAAGGTGGTCGGAACTCTCAGACCAAAATCTCTACAACGGCAGAGAAAGATGGGATTTTGCAGCGAAGAGACTGCTGGAAGCTTAGAGAAAAATGGAAGAAAAAAGAAAAGAAGAGTGGAGAAGCAGAACTTCAGCCCTTTGAGGAAACCTTAGTAGGGAAGGAGTGGAGAGGGGAAAGGGGAATTGAGGAATGAGAAGCGGTGCAATTTATAGGAGAAAGATGAGGGAAAAGAAGAACCAGAAATAAAAATAAAGTAAAAGAGAAAGAAAAAAAGTAGAGTGAGTGGGAGCAATGGAATCTCCAAGTGGCTGGTAATGGAGAGTTCACTGTGGCATGTGGGGCGATATGGAATGGCATTTTTTTGCCTAACTACTGTCCAAGCAAAAGGCTGTGACTAGAACCATGGTTAATTGAACTGCTGTGGTTAAGAGAATTTTCAGGTAACCAACCTTTGCTTTTCCCTGATTCTTCCTTCTTCAATTTTTTTTTTCTCCTGAATGTCTGCTTTGTTAAGATTATAGGAATTATTGTGATCTTGGTCTTTAATTTTGAGCTGTTCACCATTTCTAGGATCTGCTGCTTTGACTGGTTACAGATTCCTGCTGTTGAAGACTAATTTTGTTCATAAACTTATTGAGGCTTAGGGTGGTTGGTGGGCGAGGACAGTTGGGAAGCCCCCATCCTCCATCCTGAGTTTAAATCCCCTCTATTACAGCCTTGCCTCTTCAGGGGGGCAAAGCAAATATGGGCCCAATACTGATGGGTGACCTCGCTAGGTTCCGCTGAGGGATTAGTTATGCCTCCAAGTGCTCTTTTTAGAGTAGCAGCGGGTAGATACATCCGTTCTAAAAAAAAAATTGTTCATTCTATATATATCATGTCATTTTTTTATTTATTATAAATCCAAATTTTATTTGAATTTGTTTGGAAAGTGAACAGTCAAAGTAAATTTTATATTTATTTTGTGAGATATATGAGATATTATTTATTGTATGTAGAGACAGCAGAGTTAAAGAAAGTTTTAAATTTATATAATTACTCATCTATAAAAAAAACCACCTCCAAATGACCTCTTAAGTACATACCACATTAAAAAAAGTCATCTAAAATAAAGAGACATAACCAAAGAAGAGAGAGAAGTTAGAGAGCATGGGTGAAATAGGGGAAGGGAGGAAAAAGTATTTGCTTTATTTAATTGGTATAAAGCATTTCAAATATAAGAGTTTTAAAAATATTAATATTTTGTTTGGAGTAAAATAAATGTATTATAAAATTTTGGTGCGTTTCGAATGCACTATTTAATATACTTTTTTGTGCATTTGAAAATGGTTAAATTTGGGCTATTTTCAAATAGGATGTAATTTTTTTTTCCTTCATTAGCATCAATCTTTGTAGCCACTACTATCCACAATCCGTCATTGCCACACATTGCCACTGTCGACCACCACCGACCACTGAAGGCCACCATCGCTCTCCACTACTGCAAGTAGGGGTGTCAATTTCGGGTCACGGGTCGGGTTCGAGTCGAACCCGGAATTGACCGAACGCGGGCGCGCGGGCAGGCAGCGGCGGGATTTGAATTTTTTTTAATTAAACGGGTTCGCGGGTTGATCCGGCAACCCGTCGGGTCAACCCGAACCCGACCCGTTTTGAAATCGGGTCGGGTTCAACCCGGATTTTCCGGGTCGGATTTTCGTGTCGTGTCAAATATTGACACCCCTAACTGCAAGCCAACACCACCTCCACCAACAATCGCCACCACTCATCACTTTCATCAAAAACCACCACTCGCCGCCTATGCCACCAACCACTGGTCGCTAACATTGCCTGTTGTTGTTGCCACCCGCCTTCCATCTCCCAAACTACCTTATGCCTCCCACAATCATCTTTGGGCTTTAGATTATATTTATTTTATTTCAAAACAAATAAAAATTAACGACCTAAACTTATTTTATACTCATCCAAACGACTATAAATATTTCAAATAAATTCCATTCCTATTATATAACATTCATTTTTTTACTTCTCATTCCTTTTTCATCTAACCAAATCATCCGTAATAAATTCAACAAAGATCATCTACGTCATGAATACAAATCTTAATAAATACTCTCTCTATTTATTACAAAATAGTCATAATACATTATGAATACATCATAAATACAATCTTAACATTTATTTAAAATAAATGATAAGCGATTTAATCATAATTGTTAGCATATTAATGATTAGGATGTGCTTAGAAGATGATGCCCTTAATTGAAGAAAGAGATATCCACCAACTCCTCTATAGCACTTGTTGATCTTAAATTCTTAATATATATAAAATCTTAATACATTATAAATTCAAAGTTTAGGACATTATGCTTCAAACCATCTATAAGAAAAAAAAAATTATGTCACATCATCATTTGATTAATAAAGTCATAAAAACTCTTCTATTAATAAATACAGGCTTCATTTGGGATGGCTTTTCTTACTGCTTTTCAAAATGAACTTTTTAGTTTAAAAAAAAATTATTAAAAAATTGCTTTAAGAAACAGTGAGAAAGTCATCTCAAACAACGGTGCTCAGATCTGATTTCATAAATAATAATAATAATAATAATAAAAGCATAGTTATTGATTGAAGAAAAGGGTTTGGGAGTGGATGAAAGTCTCTATCTGAACTTGATATTTTTAATAAGCTCATTTATTTCTTGATAAGACATGAAACCCCTTTGATTTAGTAGCACTAAACTTAGTGATTAACAAACCACAAAGCATTAATTATTCTCTATTAGCTGGTTTTAAGCTTAAAATAGAGGGCAGTGTTTAACTCGTTGCTTTTAGCTGTTTGAGCATGAAAAGAAAGAGCCCAAATTAATTAGTTCAAAGTTCCTTTCTTTGATTGACATTATAACTTAAGCTAATCATAATGTAATTTTTTTTTTCTTTTAAGAATAATTTAAAATATGAACTTATTCAAATATTAAAAAATTAGAAAAAGATTTTACAGAAATATCATTATAAATTTTAGATTTATTACTATACCATTAATAATTTTTTTAAGGAAATTATGAGCTCATTTGGCTCTTTCTAACTTTGTATTTGTGATTTGAGCCTATTCTTCTTGATTTTGATAGAGCTAACCCTGATGATGAAGACCACTTTAGTTCGTTCTTAAAAGTCTGCATCTATAGGATTGAGGAATCTCAATTTCAAATCCTTCAGCTCTTGAATGAGAATGGCCAAGTAGTCACATTGCTACAAACTTATGATGAGGAATTGTTTTTTTTTTTTTTTTAATAAAAGGAAATTTTATTTCAAATAAGATAAGGACAATACAAGCAAAGGCCGAAAATCAAAATACAATAGAGAAGGAACACAAAAGCTAAAGCAACAAAGTAAGGAAAGACAATCAAGGAAGAAATAACATGAGCCAAAAGCGGACTCAGGATGGCAGGCCCTCGCAACGACCCCGCAGCCAGACAAGGGTCATCCATTGGTGACAAAACCCACAAGAAACCACATCATCAGCCAAGGCAACCACCAAGGTTGCCCACAAGACAAGGCCAACAAGGTGATAAGCAAGGAGCTCATCATCGTCCAAAGCATCAGTAAAACCCACGGCAACAAAAGCGAAAGAGCAGTCCAATTGCTATTTCTTCTTAGATTTACTTTTACGTTTTTCCCCTCCACCAATAAGAATAAACTCACCCTCCACATTGTCACTCAATACATTCCCCTCAACCCCAACAGAAGAGGAGACGTCCTCATCCATATCCAACCAATCAGTTTGAACCAAAACAGAATTATTCAACAATCAGGCCAGATGGGTTTTCAAATTTGCGTTAGACATAACATAAATAAGAATATCCACAAACTTCTCATTTATATGGGCAAGATTCACAATAGGAAAAAATTCTGGCACAATAGAAGTAAACAAAACCTCACCATATTGGCCACTACCCTTAGAACCCAACAAAAGCTGATCAACAGGCATCACAGGAGACACAATAGAGGGGTTAATAGCCACAGCCCACAGCACCAAGAGACACTTCATTATCAACAATAACAGTAGGACTAACGGCCTCCCCAACCACAGCCCCAGCACTAAAAGCACAAATTGAATTCTAGGTACCCTTAAGAGCCAAAGCATCATTAGAAACCCCAACATTCACAACCTCAAACGATCTACCCAAAGGAACATTGCAGCACTCGAGTCTTTGAATTTTGAAAAAAAAAAACTAGTGTCGCAGCATTAAGTGATAGCGTCGCAATACTAGGCCATTATCTTAATTTATATATATATATATATATATATATATATATATATATATAAATTAAGATAATGGCCTAGTATTATATATATATATATTATCCACTACTCTAATTCATTCAAACGTTGAACCAGCCAAAGTAGTGAAAGGGAGAGGGTTTTGGAGAGAGAAACTCCAATTTGATCCGCTTCTGGTCATTTTTAGCCGTCAGGTCAATTGAAAAAGTTGTCTAAATCGAGAAATGTCACACTATGTCTCTCTATTTTCAAAAATTTAATGTTTTTTTTTAGATTTTCCTGATTAAATGTTTATTTCAATTACTGAAAAATGCTGATGCTTTGCACTAAAACAATTTTCATCATGTAACTTTTTATATATTATTGAGATTATGAACATTTTAAGTATTTTATGTAAATTTTCTTCTAGATATTTTAGAATTTATACAATTTTAATTGAATAAAAATAATTTGAACTCTAAAAACTAGTGAGTATTATTAAAGTCTTGAACAGTGTACTGATTTGCTGACTTTCATACCATATTGTTTAATTTAATATTTTGACATATTGGTTTGCTGATTCCTCCACTGTACTGATTTGTTGACTTCCATATCTTACTGTTTACATATTACACTACTATTGTATGTGAGATTTAACATTTCTACACTGATTCTTGATCATATGACTTTCATTGATATAAATTGACTAATCATGCATATTGCTTCTCTACCATGTTTTGAATTTAGTGATAAGATTTTAGTATGACCTACATGGTTGTTTAGCTCATCAAATGTTGTTTAAATGATTTCAAATCAGAGCAAGAGAACAGAAGTGAGAGATTGATCAGGATCTCTCATGTTGCTTTTATTTTATTTTATTTATTCTTTTGTAATCATTATTTGAATAGACATTCTATAATTGTATAATTTATTATTATTG